CCTCGTGGCAGGCGCGACGGCGGGCCCAGCGCGGTCCAGGCCGCCTGCGTGGCACCGTCGGCTGCGCCGCCGTCGGTCCTCGGCTCGCGGCCGATGGCAGCTTCTCAATGACCGCCAGCTGCTGACGGCCCACCCCGGCAGCTCGCCGCCCCAGATGCATGGCGCGGGTGGCCAGGGGGCGTGCGGCGGGAAGGGAGGCAGGCCGCACGCACCCCGAGTTCCGTGGCCCTCCTCGTCCCCACTGCGGGTGCCAGAGGAACCAGGCGCGGTGGACATGGTGCAAGCACTGCCGCAGGGAGTCGCAAGGCGCTGCTCCTGGCCGTCGCGGTGCTCGAGATCGCTCTGAGTCAGCTGGGAAGCCGCCGTGGAGGAACAGCGCCCCGTCTGCTGGAACAGCAGGGCGCAAGGTCCGCTGGGCGCTCCCCGATGCCAGCGAGCAAGGAGGAGCTGGGGACATGGGCCCCCCGATCGCCGATCCCGAAGAAGCTCGCCTGGTCGACCTCACCTCCCGCCTCGCGGCCTTGAAGGACACGCTCGCGGTGGCGAAGTACCAGCGTCCACTGGATGAGCTCCGAGCCAGGAGGGCGGAGACGCCGCTCTCGGTCGACGCAGCCATCCTGGCCAAGGACGGGGCCGAACAGGATCTCCCATGGGCGTGGGAGGAGGCCGAGCTGGATGCGGCGACCGAGGCCCACAAGCGTGCTGTCCGTGTGCTGGCCGACCAGGTGCAACCAGGGGACAGAAGCGAGAAGGGAGGCGAGACGGCTCCCCCCAAGCTCTCGATTGCGCATATTTTGGACGGAAGACTTGGGAACTCGACGATTTTTTCGACCAGCGCACCAATAGTGCCGAGGCGGTTCTTTCTCTATGGCAGTGGTGATGCCCTTGAAAGTCACTGATCACGTCCAGGCTGTATCTGGAGGGGTAGCCATTCTGACCACACAAGCCATTGGAGCCAGGGCCATCGGGCAAGTCCCCAAGCAGTTTCAGCACCGCGTGATGTTCAGACAGCTAAACTTGAGGAAGGGATCGGTTATTGTGGTTGGCTCTGTCTACTTGGTCCAACGCCTCGGCATTGAAGGTGAGAACAAGCAGATCCTCAAGTACCTGATCAACGAGCTGAATGCCCTGCCGTTCCCCTTCATTCTAGGTGGCCATTGGAATGTCTCACCTGGCGCTATTATGGACTCAAGCTTCCTTGAAGATGCGCATACGGTGGCCATCGCCTGAGGACTGAGCACGGGCAATGAGAATGAATCGGAAATTCGGGGTGAGATCGCTGTGGAACGGAGACCCCCAACCAGGAAATCGTTTCGTTTCGTTCGTGTCGTGCGTGCGGGCGAGGCGAAGCTGCCGTTGCTAGGGCGAAGTCCAGACAAATGAGTCCGGCGGTGGCCCTAACGGTGTCCCGTGGTGTCCCCTGGTGTCCGTCGTTGCTAGCGCGAAGTCAAAACAAATGATTATCCTCCGTCTGGCGGTGGCCCTAGCGGTGTCACGTGGTGTCCCATGGTGTGCCGTGATGTCTCGTTGAGTGAGATCGATAGTGAGATCGATGTGCTGCCCCGAGGTGTCCCGTGGTGTCCCAAAAAGTGAGATCGATCATGAGATCGATACATAGTGAGATCCACAGGTGTCCCGTGGTGTCCTGTTGAGTGAGGTCGATCGTGAGATCGATAGTGAGATCGATACTGTCATCGATGTGGTGCCCCGAGGTGTCCCAAAAAGTGAGACCGATAGTGAGATCGATAGTGAGATCGACAGGTGTCCCGTGGTGTCCCGTTGAGTGGGATCGATAGTGAGATCGAGAGTGGGATCGATGTAGTGGTGTCCCGTGGTGTCCCGCGGTGTCCTATGATGTCCCGTTGAGTGAGATCGATCATGAGATCGATAGTGAGATCGAGAGGTGTCCCGCGGTGTCCCGTGTTGTCCCGTTGAGTGAGATCGATAGTGAGATCGATACTGAGATCGACAAGTGTCCCGTGGTGTCCCGTGGTGTCCCGTTGAGTGAGATCGATAATGAGACCGACAATTGTCCCGTGGTGTCCCGCGGTGTCCCGTGGAGTGAGATCGATAGTGGATTCGATTGAGTCAGATGCTGTTTCCCCCCCCCCCCACAACCTCCTCATCACCCGAAGGGTGGTCGTATAGATATGATTGTTTCGTCTGCTCCCAAACCTTCGAGTGCCTCCCGCGCCCCGCGCAGGGTTCGAGCCGCGGCCGATGCTCCGCTGGACCCGCACACGCCAGGCGAGGCGGCCCTCGACGGGCCGTGGGAGGAGCCGTGCGTGCGGGAGCAGGCCAGCCCCAAGGCCTTTCCACGATGCGGGACGGTAAAATGACCACAACCACTGCTTCTTGTTTGCGCCGCCTTCCATCTGGCCGAAAAACAAGCAGTGGTTGTGGTCATTTCCCTGGTGCCAAGCTCAACGAAAGTGACCACAACCACCGCTCTGTTTCTGCGGGCCGGAAGGCGGCAACAAAAGAAAAGCAGTGGCTGTGGTCGTTTTCACGCCCCGTACACGAAAGATCACACCGACTGAGGATGAGGCGCCTCCGAAGCCGATACAAATGGTGGCGCTACCTTGGGATCCGGACTGGCACCGACGACCTCGACCGGGCGATGCGCGGGTGGTGCAGCACCGTGGAGGAGCGGGCGGTTGGCATCTTCGACATCCCGAAGGGCATGGCCAGGGACTATCGAGGCCGAGCCAAAGGCTTCAAGAGGCCCCGTGTCAAGCTGCTCAGCAAACTCCAGCAGCTGAAGGAGTATCAAGACACCTCGGACACGACGGCCTGAGAGTCGCTCACCAGCTTGTGGCAGCGGCTCTGTGTCTGCAGCGTCTCCAAGAAATGCAGGCAGCTCAGCCTATGCCACCGCGGAGAACTGGAGAAGGCATGCCTGGCCATCCAGCTGCCCAGCCCGCTAACCTCCACGGGCATCCTCGAGAGCAAGGACACGATGAAGTGGTTGGACATGGGCAGAGCCAAGCCGTCGTTCTACCGCCAGCTCAAGGAGCTCTTCGACCAGGAGGTGGAGGACTGCGCGCGGAGAGAAGGAGGGAGAGCAGGAGGAGGAGGAGTAGGAGGAGGAGGAGGAGGAGCAGAAGGGGGGGGCAAGCCAATCCTGCGCGAGGGCCTGCCGCTCAACTGCGGAGATGCGGCAGAGCAATTGCTTGACGATTGGAATCTCTTGCGGCAAAGGGAAGCTCGAGCAGGTGAACCGCGCCCCGAGGCCTGGCAGGTGGCCTGGGACCTGCCGCCCGTCGTGATGGAAGGTTTCCTGGGCGGGCGTCGTTCTTTCCCTGGGCCTGCAGCGCTCGGATGGGCTGCAGTGCACCCGCGCTCCTTCGAGAAGATGCCACGCGAGATCAGGCAGCGAGCTGCTGGCAGTCTCAATGCATGGGAGCAGCAACCCAGGTCACCGCCATGGTGGACGATCCTCCTCCTCCCCCTCCTCCCCCTCCTCCTCCTCTTCCTCCTCCTCCTCCTCCTCCCTCCCTCCCTCCCTCCTCCTCCTCCCGCCCCCTCTTAAATATTCCTGGACACGGGGCCAGGCCAGCGCGCGTTGCGCGTTCGCCCCCGCAGGCTGGCGAACGCTGCAGTAAAACACGGTATGAGACAAAGCCTCCGTGTCTCTGCCAACGCCCCTCCTCCTCCTCCTCCTCCTCCTCCTCCTCCTTCTCTTCCTGCTTCTCCTCCTCCTCCTCCCAGCATCCCTCCCTCCTCCTCCTCTCCCTCCTCCGCCTCCTCCTCCTCCTCCTCTCAACTCCCTCCCTGCTCCTCTCAACCTCCCTCCCTCCCTCCCTCCTCCTCCTCCTCCTCCTCCCTCCTCCTGCTCTCCTCCTCCTCCTCCTCCTCATCATCATCATCATCACCATCATCATCACCATCATCATCATTCTCCTCCTCCTCCTCCTCCTCCTCCTCCTCCTCCTCCTCCTCCATCCCCCCACATTCCTTTTCCCTGTCTGTCTGCCTGTCTGTCTGTCCGTCTGCCCGTCCGTCCGTCCGTCCGTCCGTCTGTGTGTCTGTCTGTCTCTGTCTGCCCGTGTGTCGGTCTGTCTGTCTGTCTGTCCGTGCGTCCGTCTGCAATTCTGAGTGTTTCGTGGCTCTCTTCCTCGCCCGCTTTCCGACGGGAACGTGGGGGGAAGCTCCGTGTGCCGACGTAGCGAGGCTGCCGAGCGGTCGAGGGACTGCGTCTCCCTCATCCTGTCGCTCACCAAGACTGGCGCCATCAGTTGCCCTCGCCTGGCCTTCGCCAGGGGAACGCTAGGAAACTCACGCAGGCAAACGAGAAGGTGAGGGGACGAACGAACGAACGACTGAACGGGGGTGCCTGTGCCTCGGTCCTCCCCTCTTCCTCCTCCGCCTCCTCCTTGAAGGCCTTCTCCCTCATCCTGTCCTGCCCTTTCCCTCCCTCCTTGAGGGGTCCTCCTACCTTCCAGGAGCACATCTCTCTCTGACTCTTTCTCTCCCTCTCTCTCTCTCGATATCTCTCTCCTCCTCCTCCTCCTCCTCCTCCTCCTCCTCCTCCTCCGCATAGTCCCCCCCCACCTTGAGGTCGCCCGCACGCCGACCCCCTGCGCTGCCCTCTGGGGCAACTCGGCCCGTGCGCGAACGGTGCAGTCCTCCGCAGTGCCCTCCCCCTGCCCCCGTCCACACCCTGCCCCAATGAGCAGCCGAACGGCAGCTGCACACACGGGAGCTGCCGCAGGTCCGCGCGGAACTCCAGACGTGCATGCTGATGCCACTGCTCTGTCGGGTCCGGCGAGGAGTCTTCGACTTCGCCCCCGGTCCCATTCCCGCTTTCCCCCTCCCATCCCCATAGTCGCACCTACCTCCGACGCTCTGCTCAGGTGAGCGCGTGGGGCTCCAGACTTCCCGTCCCCAGCACTCGCACTGGGCCTCGCGCCAGAACGAGCCTGACCAGGTCTGCATCTCTGCAAGCCGCGGGAAGTCTGGAGTCCATCCGCTCCTTCCGACGCCCCCTCGCGGCGCGCCCTTTTCATGACCGCCCGGAACTGCTTGATCTGGTCGAAGGCCTCGTGCTCGCTCTCCTTCTCGGCCGCCGCGACCGCCTTCTCGAAGGCCGCCGTTTTCTTCGACCTGGACTCGTTCCTGTCCTGCGGGATGCTCGTGGCGGCAGGGGCGGTGGCCGACTGGAAAAAGAGGCGAGGGCGGCGACGACGGTATCGAGAAAAACTGCGACTGCGAGTAAGCGATGCGGGTCGGCTACGATATCGACGACCAGACTGCGAGAGAAACTGAGGGCGCGAAGCATGGATGCCGCCCCCACGTGGAGCGTCAGATACAAACGAATCAAGCTGCTGCGGAAGCGCGAAGGCCGTGTTATTCAAACGTGAACGCACAACGAAAAAAACAAGCACGGCAGGCAACACCCGCCGACAAAGATAATGGATTGTGGAGATATAGGGGAAGGGGGTCATATTTCGGACCTGGAGCGACGAGAACGACGACGTCGACGAGCACACCGGTTACGACGACGACAGGCCTGACGGCAACGGTCGACGAAGGGAAGGGGGAATATGGACAGGACAGGACATCCGCATAAGGGGGGTCTACGTCAACACCTACACAAAGGCTGCGCGCACGACTCGCCAAATCCCCTGCGATTCAATACCGCCGCGCGCCCCATGCTTCCCCGGGAGCGGGCAGGGGGCATACCCCGAAGCTCAAGGGGGCGAGCTCCGAGGTGGCCCCGTGAAAGGCTCGCTGATTGAGACGAATCCCTCGGGTCAGTGCGAGGGGAACATCTGCTGGCCAGTTCGCGCACCCCCTCTGGGGGACGCGCTGGCGAACAGGGTTCCCAAGTGGGGGGGGGGCCTGAGCCCTTCTTTAACATTTGAACCAGAACGCCAGTGCTCCGAGAAATCTGCCCCGTCTCCCCCCCCCTCCACCAACACAGGAGCTCCAGCACTCCGGGATGTCCTCGTTCGTGCTCTCTGCCCCCCCTACGCCGAGACAGGCGCTTCCCGCGCCAAACGCGCTCATCTTTCGATTCCCGCGCCAAGCGCGCTCAGAAATGCTCAGCCTTTCCTCTATCTGCCCTCTGCAAAGTCACACTTATACACCAGAAATTCTGGGAAACATGCGGCACATTCAGAAGATGGACCGGTGACGGGAGACAGGGAGACAACGCAGGGGATAGAGGGGGGGAGGGAATGCAGGAGGCCCCTACACCCCCAAGCGCCTGCTGATGGACCTGCTGAATTGTTTACGTACATCCTTCTGTGCCCACTCTTCGAACAGAGTCCCCAACCCTTCCCCTCCCTCTCTCCCCCCCGCCTCCTCTCGCTGCGCCGGGACAAATGCATCCCGCGCCAAAGGCGCTCAGTGATGCACGGCCTCTGCTCTTCTTTCCTCTGCAAGGTCACACTTATTTCCTCCGAAGAATCTGGGCAGACATGCGGCGCGCGCAGATTGGCACAACATCCCCGTTCAGGGTGGTTATCCGTTTACGAGCGTGCATTTGCCTCCCATTTTGATGACACATCCCAAAGATACTCACTCTGAAATGGCGTCTTCAACCATATAAACAATGCAGTCCATGCCTCTGAGAGCCACTTGTTGCTGAATGTCCACCGCGGAAGCAAATATGCTAAAGTTGTTCTTCGCTGCGCGGCGTACCACATTACGTATTTCTTCAGTTTCTTCGACGTGGCCTAAAATCGCATTCCTGGAGTTGGATCATTTCTGTCTGGCTCGAACTGGTTTTGCCCCCCTCCATACGATCCACTGCTTCGAATTATGACAGTGCGTCCGCCACTTCCTGCTGTGTGAGGCCAGGGGGCAGCTGTTGTCGAAATTCGTTCGCCCTAAGCAAGGAGCCTGCACTGTCCAGAGGCACCTCGGAAACTTCCTGCAGACGAGCAAGGGTCTATGGGTCTTTGGGGCTATTCATCGGTCGCAGCCGATGACATCCGAACCTCAAGGCCTCCATCTTCCCTCGAGCCGTTGTCGTCTATCTTCGCTCGCCGCCGCACAAATGAATGCAAAGCAGGCCCTATTGGACTCCATTGGAGCAATTGGTCTTGAATCTCCTGCTGCATCTGTTCCCAAAATTGTGATTTGTTTATGGGTTCTCGAGGCTCTTCATTGGTACCCTCCGGTTGCCTCCGAACCTCGGGGCCTCCATCTTCCCTCTGGCAACCGCTGTCCAGCGACGGATCTTGGCCAACCAACTGTTCGCAAATTACAATCCCGGCAACCTGGCATTTCCTAGCGCAAGTACGGCGGATCAGTTTTTGTTCGTCTTCGGCTCGTCGTTTTTTCAAGGTCACACTCCAATCCTCCATGGACGTTCGGAAAGCTGCGGCACAAAAAAATCCACCACTATATTGCGACCCTGTCACGCGAGAAGAATTCCCAAAAGGTGCGGCATCGGAAGACTGCAAGAGATGTTTTGTTTATTCTCCGTCGTCCATCCTCCCCCCTACGCCCTCCCCCCGTCACTGGAGAAAGTATGGGGCGGAACTCGTCTGAGCGGGCTTCAGTGAAAGTCCCCACTCCGTCGGAGCTCAAATTGCCTGGACCTCCAACGTCGACTGGGAGAAGATGGGAGAGAGAGGCGAGGATAGGGAGGAGCAAGCGGAAAGTGATCAGATCATGAGTAGGAGATGATGAGGAAGATGAGGATATGGAAGAGGTTGCGAGATCGCACCACGCCCCTGCCAGCAAAGCCGGCCCGAGCGAGAGGGAGGGCGGGAGGCCTGCCTGGCGCAGCAAAATAGGCAGGCTGGAAGAGAATCGCAGCGAACACTCGGCGCAAGAATACGAGAGGCAACAACGTACAACACTATTCTGGCTTTTTCGCTGCATCCAGCCAGTTCTGTCCAGAGGCGTGGGCTAAGCCGTCGCTGCACCTTTTCGCTGGCGGACCGGTGCGGTCTCTCAGACTTTGAACGCGCCCAGGTCTCCACCGAAACCCACTGCACGACCGCCTGTGAATTCTATTGGACTGAAATCGCAGCAATTCGCGAGTTTCTGTTCCTGTATGTAATGAGTGGCCTAATCAAGAACGCCATTATTCTCTGAACGTTGACCAATGTTTCGCACTGCGCGCTGCTTGCGGTCCACCCACGATCGATTGCCGCATCTGTTGGCTCCTCGGCTGGGTCGCGGCTCTGTGTCAGCTCAGAGCGCCCAGGTGTTCCTTTGTGTTGTCAGTTCAATGTCTCCCTCTCTCTCTCTTTCTCTCTGTCTCTGTTTTGTATATATCTCTGTCTCTGTCTTTCTATATATATATATATATGTATATATACATATATATATATATACATATGCCGCAAATGCCTCTTAAGTTAAAGCCTGCATCGACACCGCTCCCCCCGGATGCCCTCCACACACACGCGCGCGCACGCGCGCGCACGCGCACACACACGCACGGACAGGGGAGGCCGCCGTCCGGCGCGGGCACGGGCCCGCAGTCGGTCAGAGGCCGCGACGCGCGGCGGCTGCCCGCGATGGGGGTCGATGCGGGGCTGTCGGCGGGGAGGAGGGGGAGGAGGAGGAGGAAGAGGAGGAGGAGGAGGAGGAGGAGGAGGAAGGAGGAGGAGGGGAGGAGGAGGAGGAGGAGGAGGAGGAGAGAGGAGAGGGAGGGAAGAGGAGGAGGAGGAGGAGGAGGAGGAGGAGGAGGAGGAGGAGGAGGAGGAGGAGGAGGAGGAGGAGAGGGAAGAAAAGGAGGAGGAGGAGGAGGAGGAGGAGGAGGGGCAGGAGGAGGAGGAGGAGGAGGAGGAGAAGGAGGAGGAGGCGACGCCCCCCCGACGCTTATCGATTAAATCGGAATGCGCTGCTGATGCATCCATGGGCAGCGACAGCGGAGAGCGGAACCTCCGGTTGGGGACCCTCGCGCCCCGCGCGAGCCTCTGGGCGCCACCCTTCTTTGGCAACGAAGAGGGGCGCGGCCAGGGCAGTTGGGGCGGCGCGTGGAACCCAGCACGCTTGAAGGGGAACTGGGACACACAAATACATACACACAAATAAAAAAATATCCCCCATATTTTCCATATTTTCTGGGCTTCTGTCTTCCCCCCCACAGCCCATATTTTCCCATATGTTCCTGGGAATCGACGATTAATTGTGTCTGTGTGTTTTTTCCTCTCCTGAACGCTGGCCTGCGCGAGGTCCGGGATGAACGGGTGGTAGGCGCGGTGGCCACTCTTCGAAACTTCATCCGTGTGCGGGGTGACGGGCGGCTCGGGGTCCAAGTTGGGCGCCCGAGTTATCCGGGGTAACTCGGGTCCGGGGTAACTCGGGTTTGGATTCCCGAGAAAGCAACCCGAGTTAGCCCTGCCCCGAGTTACCCCTGATGATGTGAGGCTCTGGACGCCCGAGTTATCCGGGGTAACTCGGGTCCGGGGTAACTCGGGCTTGGATTCCCGAAAAACGAACCCGAGTTATCCCTGACCCGAGTTACCCCTGATGACTCGGGGCTCTGCGAACAGGTGGTAGGCGCGGTGGCCACTCTTCGAAACTTCATCCGTGTGCGGGGTGACGGGCGGCTCGGGGTCCAAGACCCTAGACCACTCGTCCGGTGTCTCCGTGATCCTGCGTTCGTAGTCCTGCGCGCAGGCTTTCTCGATTGGGTCGAGTATCGTCTCGGCCGCGGGCGCGGCCGCATTCCCTTCTGGAATGTCAAGTCGGGATCTGACGCACTTGACCACGGGGCTCGGTGACTCGCCCCCAGCGTAGAACAGTACGATGGCGGACATCGAGGCCATTGGCGCCCGATGCAACATTGTCGCGGCCGCAAATCGCTGCGCCACCGTGGTTGGCCCCCTCTGCTCACGCGGCGGGCGGAGAGCGTCGAGGCCAGCAATCGCTTCGTTAGCGAAATGCTCCGTGCTCCGTCGGTGCGCTGGTCGATCCCCCGTGGAAGCGGCAGGGCTCTTCCTTTCGGCACTCCACGCGTCAGCGCTGCCGCTGAGCTCGGCCCGATGACAGCCGCGGGTCGGCCGGCCCCCGCGGCGCGAGGAGGTCATGAGCCCCATCCCCGATTCTGGGCGGGGTCGCCCTTTCCATGGCCCTTGCCAGGGCCACGTCGCAACTTATGCTCCTCCTTCGCCTTCCTCGACTCGACTCCTTAAGGACGGCCGCCTAGTTG